CTTAGGGCGACACGACGAGCAGGCAGGGGGCCAGGCGCGGGCTTGGGGCGACGCGACAGGCAAGCGGGGGGGCCGGGCGCGGGCTTAGGGCGACGCGACGGGCAGGCAAGGGGCAGGCGCGGGCCTTAGGGGCAGCGCGACGGGCAGGCAAGGGGCCGAGCGCGGGCGTAAGGGGCGGCGCGACGGGCAAGCGGGTGGGGCCGGGCGCGGGCTTAGGGCGACGCGACGGGCAGGCAAGGCAGGCGCGGGTCTTAGGGGCGGCGCGACAGGCAGGCAAGGCAGGGCGCGTGTGGGGCAGCGCGGTAACCGCAGGCAGGCAGGCGTTCGGTGGGCCCTAAAAAAAAAAACCGGTCATAACGGACCTACTGCTCTGAAACCATGTTGAAACTAGCAGGCGAGAATGATGCATTGAAATGAGAGTTGGGTACAAGTATCAAACCCTAGAGGGGTTGTACCCCATATTGGCTACCCCACTACAGCCTACACGAATATATGACATATATAGTTTGACATGCGCTGCTCGCGGGCAAAAATAAAACCCATATAGGTGAGGCATGCGTTAGGGACAGGGCCCAAAATATCAGGGTAAAACACCCTGATTACCCTGGGCGCCGGCAGCTTTTTCAGGATTACCCTGCCAAAATCAGAATTTCACAACAGTTACCCTGCTGCACGAAGAGCATGTATTATTTTACACTGATTGGATTTATGGTTAGCCCGACGGTGTCAGGGTAGGGTGTAGACTATCTTGATACCGAATCTTCTTTACCGCGGATCAGGCCACACTCCGCGTGGTAACAAACTCTACCACACCTACACAAACAGACATTTCCAAAAAGCCCCGACAGCAAATTCGCCCTGGCACGGTGGTTTCGTGCTGTCCGAGTACAGCAAATTCGCCTTATCACAGTTTTGCGCTGTCAGAGAGTAGCAAATTTGCCCAATCACAGTAGAATTGCCCTGACACAAGAGCAGATTCGCCCTTACACAAGAGATTCGCACCTGTCAGAGCATGTTTCGCCCTAGCAGGTCCGGTTGACATCTCAGGGCGTGTCCAGTTCGTTCATTTCGGGTTTTTTAGTGCCAACACACGTCTCGAGGTTCAAGAATGATCACTGTACCTAACAACGAATGTATTGTGAGTTGAGTCCAAACCAAATGTAATTTCAGGAGTGCGGACACATTCCCCGCCACACGAATCAACAGTGCTCGGACCGTGTTCGAAACGAGGTAACATTCTTCCTCGTCAATCATAGCTTGAGAATTTTTGGGCCGGCGCAGGGGGCGTTGGCGAGTGTAGCGAGCCGCTGGCGAAATCGTGCAAGCGGGCACTCACTGTAGTGGCCAGGACGCGGTCTTGTACCCTTGTTCGCGTCCCCGCTGATTCCAGTAACGTGAGTCAGACGACTCGAGGTACGTGCAGGGGGCGTGCCTCTTGTGAACGACAGCTGATTGTATCCGCAGGACACGTTCATTACAGTGTTACAACAAAAAATGTGGTAACTGAACGGGTTTACGAACAGTAAATGTACGAGCTGGACACCCCCTCAGTCTGATAGCATGCCTGATAGCGAGGACTCTGTTGTGAGTCCTACTTTATGTCAGTATAAAAAACTTAGCTCACAAAATAGTAGCCGAAATAGGCTTAGCCTAAAATTACCCTGCTTAAATGAGGCTATAGGTTGACTTACCCTGCTGCAAACAGGGTACTAAAACTTTTACCCTAGGGGTCGGGCTAAGGAGGGGCTGGAACCCTGATTTGTAAGGGTAGGCCTAAACCAATTTTGGGCACTGGTTAGGGATGCATCAATCCTAAACGCCTAGAGGCAAGGTGTTTAGGGTTGATGCCTCCCTAACGCATGCCAGGCCCAAATGGGTTTTTTTTTTTTTCCACGGGCAGCGCAGTACAGAACTTAACTAAATTTCTCATGAAGTTTGTGGTAACAATAAATCAGATCTCGGTTCCCGCGCGATTGAAGGCATGCCACGTGGCGATATTAAAATGAACCGCGATTAAGCGGAATTGAGCAAAACTCTCCGTTCCTAAAACACTCCCCCGTGGACTCGGTTTTCTCAGACGCACAGCCTATTCACACAATATTTGTTTGTGAAACGTATCATAGTTGCTACTGCTACTTTTCCGTTCTTACTGGTACCACAGAAGTTGACGCGGAAGAATGTTACCTCGTTTCGAACGCGGTAAGCTCATCAGGTGCGGACCCTCCCGTGGTAAGCTCATCAGGTGCATGCTGGCCTCAGCACTGTCTGTCTGTGGCGTGGGAGCTGGGGGGCTGGGAGGGTCATGTGGGATTCGGATGTGGGAGTGGTGGCGTGCTGGCATGGTGTAGAGGGAGCATTCATGCATCATGATCATCATCCAAGGCTTATGCATGCACTGCACGCTATTGTTGGAGGTATTATTGCGATTCACCATCCATCAATGCATTAGCATTACATGGTCACCACAGGGTTTTGTCAGCCCCTACCGCCTCGGATATTCCACTCTGGCACCGCCTCCCTTTCCTTGCAAGGTGTCCCAATCAGATGCTCGCGTTGGTGGATGCACACGTGGCGCCAGGTCAGCCGTTAGCTGTCTGTCCGCGAAGCACGCTGAGGAAAGTAGCTGCGTCTCTCAAAGACAGGTTCGGACTGGTGAGTGCAGCAAAAGATAAGAAAAGCAGAAGACGTGCAAAGATTGTTACGAGTGAAGACCCGCGAAGCACGCTGAGGAGAGTAGTAGCTGCGTCTTTTGAAGACAGATTCGTATTGGTGAGTGGAGAGGCCTTTCTGTACTCGCTGAACAAGATCCAACAGCTGCAACACCACTTGGCTGCTCCTCCTCACCTCAGTTGTTCTGCACGATGCTTTTCCAGGGTCAAACATTTACTGTGTATGTGGGTGTTTGTGTGTGCGTGCGTCTGTATGTGTATGTGCGCGCACGCGCGTGCTTGTGTGCGTGTGCGTGCGTTTGTGTGAGCGTGTATGTACGTGGGTGTGCGTGGGTATGCGTGCGTGAGTGTGGGCGTGTGTATGTGTGGGCGTGTATGTGTGTGTGCGTGCGTGAGTGTGGGCGTGTGTGTATGTGTGGGCGTACAGGTGCTGAGAGCAGGGTTCGAAAGCGAATTCACTCTCCTACACTCCACCACCCCATCGTATGTACAGTAAAACTTCCCTCTGCCTCCCCATGCTATTTCTGCTGCTAAATGTACTCTCCCTCAGCTGCGTTCTTGCTGCACTCTCCGTGCTGCCTTATTTCACCCATAACTATTGCCCATTGCATATCCCAATCCGCACCCCACACCCCCATTCTCCACGTCCCACCCCCCTCCAAGTCAACGCTCTGGTGCTTATAGAGTGACAGTAAAATCCCTGTGCCCATCAACTGCACGCACGCTGTGATGCGTTCCCCCATGCTCTCGGCCCCCTTGCGCTTCCCACCCACCCCACCCTCCCCTGCCCCACCAGCATGCTCCCTCTGCACCGCACGCTCTACTGCTCCACGCTGGCGTTTGAATCCGTCTCAAAACCAATATACTTCACCCCACCCCCACTCCCCCATGCATCCACAGCATGACCCCCGTGGATCGCACGCTCTACTGCTCCACGCTGGCGTTTGACGAGCAGGCAGAGCTGATGGGCGCCATGGTGGCGGCTCTGCACGGCATGGGGATCCGCGTGGAGCAGGTGGGAAAGGGGCGGGGATGCGTGATGTGAGGCATAGAGCATCATGTGTGTATGTATGTGGGCATAGAGCATCATGTGTGTATGTATGTGTGTGTCACGGAGCTCATGGGCGGAATGGTGGGGGCTCTGCATGGCATGGGCATATCTGTGGAGCAGGTGGGTAGGGGGAGAGGAAATGTGGGCTCATATCATGGTGGTATGTAAGTTTGTGGCATGGTAGGGAGGTACTGGGTGCCATGGTGGCTGCTCTGCATGGCATGGGCATTCCCGCGGAGCAGGTGGGCAGGGATGGGAGCAGGTGAGGGGGGAGGTGAGAACATGTGTGAGGGGATGCGGGCGTGGTACTTGGTTGATTGATCTGTGGTATGTGATGAGTTGTATGGCGAACAGGACTGTGGTGCCGGCTGTGCTGCTTCGCTGGCACGGGGATATGCCCACTCGATTGAACGCTGGTGTGGTGGAGCAGGTGGGTGAGTGAGTGCTGAAACTCACATGGGGATACCATGGTTGTAGCCTGGCTTCTGTCGGCTATAGCCTAGCCCCTCCTACCCCACTCACTTCCCCCCATTCCCTGATATCCCTCCCTCACTCCTCAATCCTTCACCTCCTTTAACCTCACTCCCTCACTCCCTCAATCCGCATTCCCTCAATCCATCCGTTTCTCTCTCTCACAGCTTCACCCGGAATCGGGCGGCGGGCAGTTTGAGATTGCGGTGGGGCATGCAGCTGACGTGGCAGCAGCTGATAGGATCCTACTCGTTCGGGAGGCAATTTCCGAGGTGGTGCGGAGAGCGGCAGCAGCAGGGGCGGGGAGTGGGGAGGTGGAAGGCGGGAGCAGCAAGAGGAGCAGCACGCCCACTCACGTCACCTTCCTTCCACAGTCGGCTCTCGCACAGTTGCTCTTGCAATCGCCTGCCCAAAATCCCCTCAAGATGTTCCCCTTACAATCAGTCGCTTTAATCCTCTTCTCCCGCATCATCCTCAAGATGTTACACGCACATTGCTGCACTGGGTGGGGATGTACAGACCAGTCCCGCCTGTTCCCGTTCAGTCAGTCTGCCCCTCAAGGCTTCGTCCTACCTGTTCCTTGTGAAGCCAGTCTTTCTCCAGTCCTCTCCCAGAGACTTCCGTTGGTGCAGGCGTTGGTGCAGGCGTTGGTGCAGGCGTTGGTGCAAGCGTTGCTTTCAGAATCCCCGCCCTACCTTTCTTTGCTAAGCCATCCTTTCTCCCTTCATCCTTTCTCCCTTCCCCTTCCTGCCCTCTCCCAGAGTCTTCCCTCGCGACGCAGCCAATGGCAGCCACGTCCACGTCAGCATCTAGCGGGAGGTCACTGGTGGGGCTGATGCGTCATCATCATCATCATCATCATCATCATCATCATCATCATCATCATCATCATCATCATCATCATCATCATCATCATCATCATCATCATCATCATCATCATCATCATCATCAGCAGCAGCAGCAGCAGCAGCAGCAGCAGGAACCTCCTCGGGTGCACCAATCGTGGTGACAGAAGGTGGTCGCACCTACATCAATGCCTTTGCAGCAACAGGGCAGGCGAAAGAAGGCGGGCTTATGGCATCTTTGCCTTTACAGTAGTTTATGGCTGGGGTGATGGCGCACCTGCCCTCCATCATGGCAATCTCGTGTCCTCTGCTCAACAGGTACAGCCTCCTCCCTTTGACATCCATTTTTCCTCATGCATCCCAGTCGCTACTGTAGTAAATCTTCTACTTCCCCCACTTCTCACCTTCCCATCCCCCACTCCCTACCCTGGTCTCCCGCCATTTGACTGTAGTGCTGCACTCCCTTCAAAGCCTCATTCCCACAACCCCTTTCCCATGCTGGCCTGTGCTGTATTGGGCTGCACACAGCTACGAGCGGTTAGGCCCCAACAAGTGGGCAGGTGCGTTCCAGTGCTGGGGGCATGAGAACTGCGAAGCAGCTGCCGTAATCTTATTCCTGATTCCCCAGCATCTCGCCTCCCGTGCCCACAACCCTCTCTGGGTTCCCTTGGTGTGGCTTATGTGTTGCACACAGCTACGAGCGGCTAGGCCCCAACAGGTGGACAGGTGCATTCCAGTGCTGGGGGCATGAGAATCGCGAGGCTGCAGTCAGGGTGGCGGCTCCCCCCACCCATACTGCCGCTGCTGCTGCCGCTGAAGGCGCAGCTGCTGCTGCTGCTGCCGCTGACGGCGCAGCTGCTGCTGCTGCTGACGTGCCAGCAGCGTTCCAAGAGACCAACTTTGAGGTGAAGGCGTGTGACGCGTGCGCCCAGCCGCACCTGGTGCTGGCGGCCATCATTGCTGCTGGCATGGATGGGCTCGAGAAGAAGATGCAGCTGCCAGCACCTGTTGGTACGTGCCCTGCCCGCTCCCCATGAGTGTGCGGTTGTGCGTGTGTAAACCCTTGGGAACGTGGAGTGAAGGCGTGAGACGTGTGCGCTCAGCTGCACCTGGTTCTGGTGGCCATCATTGCTGCTGGCATGGATGGGCTGGAGCAGAAGACGCCGCTGCCAGAACCCATTGGTATGTCACGTGGCCATACGTGGCTTTTGAGAATTCTCAAAAATGAACCCATTGGTACGTGGCCATAGATGTGGGATTGTGTGTGTATGTGTGTGTGTGTAATCCCTTGGGTACATGGAGAGAAGGCGTGTGCGGCGGGCAGGCAGGCAGCTGCACCTGGTGCTGCCAGCCATCGTTGCTGCTGGCATGGATGGCATGGATGGCATGGATGGCATGGATGGCACGGATGGCACGGATGGCACGGATGGCACGGATGGCACGGATGGCACGGATGGCATGGAGTGGAAGTCGCTACTAGCTTAGCCTACCGGCACGTGCCTTCAAGGCGTTGGGTGCATGGCACAGGGGTATAATGCATGTGATGGGTGTTGTATGTGTGATGTGTGGGATGCATGTGCATGCATGCATGCACGCTTGGCGGTAGCTGCAGTTATCCCTTCTAGACGTTTCATTGCACTGTAGATCCACACGCCTGCCAACCTCCTTAGGAAAACGCATCCCGCTGAAGAATACATTTGGCCACTCGCCGTGGCTTCTTTAGCTGCCCGCTGTTCTCCTCCCAACTACTTTCTAAAACACCCCAGCCCAGCTGCTCTCCCAGCCCAGCTGCTCGCCCAGCCCAGCTGCTCTCCCAGCCCAGCTGCTCGCCCAGCCCAGCTGCTCTCCCAGCCCAGCTGCTCTCCCAGCCCAGCTGCTCGCCCAGCTTAGCTGCTCTCCCAGCCCAGCTGCTCTCCCAGCCCAGCTGCTCTCCCAGCCCAGCTGCTCTCCCAGCCCAGCTGCTCGCCCAGCCCAGCTGCTCTCCCAGCCCAGCTGCTCTCCCAGCCCAGCTGCTCTCCCAGCCCAGCTGCTCGCCCAGCCCAGCTGCTCGCCCAGCCCAGCTGCTCTCCCAGCCCAGCTGCTCGCCCAGCCCAGCTGCTCTCCAAGCCCAGCTGCTCTCCCAGCCCAGCTGCTCGCCCAGCCCAGCTGCTCTCCCAGCCCAGCTGCTCGCCCAGCCCAGCTGCTCTCCCAGCCCAGCTGCTCTCCCAGCCCAGTTGCTCTTCCTCCACCTCTGTCTGCACCCCTTTGTCTGCCCTCGAGGGGACTGATCCCCATTTCCTCATCCCCACCTCGTACCTCCCTTACCATTCAACTCAATCCCTCCACACGCGAACCCAGCTGACCTTCCGCCCGAATCTACACCCCCCTGCCTGCCCTCATGCCTGGACGAGAGGATAAACCTCATTCCCTCACCCCCACCGCTTACCACCCCCTGCTATTCACCACCATCCCTCCAGACGTCAATCCAGCTGACCTTCCGCCTCACGAAGCCCCTCCCCGCCTGCCTGCATGCCTGTAGGAGTCACTGGCAGCGTTTGAGGCGGACACTGTCATGCAGGCAGCACTGGGGGAGGCCATGGTGCAGGCGGTTGTGGCGGTGCGCAAGGTGAGGGGGGTGGCATGGCATGGTGCAGGCTCTTGTGACGCGCAAGGGTGTGTGAGGGTAGGGTGTGTGGAGGAAGGGTGTGTGGGGTAAGGGTGTGTGAGGGAAGGGTGTGTGAGGAAAGGGTGTGTGAGGGAAGGGTGTGAGAGGGAAGGCTGTGAGAGGGAAGGCTGTGAGAGGGAAGGGTGTGTGTGGGAAGGGTGTGTGAGGGAAGGGTTTGTGAGGGAAGGGTGTGTGTGGGAAGGGTGTGTGAGGGAAGGGTGTGTGATGGAAGGGTGTGTGATGGAAGGGTGTGTGAGGGAAGGGTGTGTGGGGGCAAGGTGGCCGCTCTGCCTGCCCGCATTTTTGGGGGCGGATGCTGTCACGGAGGCGGCACTGGGGGAGGCCATGGAAGGTGATTGTGGCAGTGTGCAAGGTGAGTACTGGGGGGGCCTATTGAGCAAGGTGTTTTAATTGCATGGTGTATCAAGGCAGAGGGTGACCTTGAGACGTTGTTCTAGGAGGTTATGCCCAGCTCTGGGCCCAGCTGCTCTGTGCCCAGCTGCTCTGGGCCCAGCTGTTGTAAGCCCTGTTTTCTTGGGATGGCTTCTTTCGCAGTCTTTCTCAAGTATCCCCTCTCCATCTCCCGTCCCTTCCACTGTCCTCACTAATCCCCTCCCTCCCAAATCCTGCTTGCATCGTTTTTTGTATGTTACTCTCCTTTCCATCAACCCCCTACGCGTGTTTTCCTCCCATAACTCCACTCACCTTGCCCTTCTCACATGCTTACCTTAGCTTGCTTTCCCCTGTATGGCTGTCAACTATCTTACAATGCTCATTACAGGCTGAGATTCAGCATTACACAGGAAGAGCATCTATGGCTAGCCAACTTGTACTGAAATATTAGTGACCAAGTGATGATTACATATTGGTTGTATAGAACCTTCACACAGCTACAACGATCATGTCCCGAATAATAGCAAGAGCAGGCTACAAACAAACATCACATCTCATGAGTCTGGGTCTGCAGATGTGCAAGTATGCATAATGATCAGAAGCCGGAATAGGAAGTTCAAAGCTGAGGTAGTGGATGTTTCAAAAAAATCTTGTAGTACATTATTACGTGTTACAGGGAGAAACCAAACCTTAAGTTCTAGTATGTACATGTATTAAGAGCTTTTACTCGTCATCATTGATGAACTTCCCTGTACCGGGGTTGATGGCGGCGACAAAGAAGAACGCGATACTAGCCAGCAGCAGCGGCTCCAACTCCCAGACCGCCAACCGGGTCTCAATGTTCAGCTGAGCCAGAGCGCCTCTCCCAGTAATCACCTCGCCCACCAAACTCGCCGCAAACCCTAATTGCGCCATGCGACCCACGAAGAGCTCGTTCGCCTTGGTAAACCCGAACAGTGGCCCGTCCTCGCTCAGTCCAAGCCGGCCTTGAAATTGCCAGGTTTCACGGGCGGACCAGCGGGCTCGTCGTCAACGAATCGCCCGCGGTCGCCCAGCCCGCCGATCGCGCCGAGCACGGTGAACGCGATGAAGAAGAGCACGAGCGGCTCGGCCTCCGTAATGGGGATTCCGGTTTCGAGGTTGAGTTGCGAGAGGATCCCTTGCCCGATAACGGCTTCGCCGAGGAGCGACGCGGCGAATCCGAGCATCGCCACACGACCGACGAAGAGCTCGTTGGCTTTCGTGAAACCGAAGCCGCCAGATGTGCCGAAAATGCCGTCCTCTGTTCTGAGTTGCTTCTTAACGGGGGTGGTCTTAGGGGGACGGCGGATTTGTTGAAGCCCAGGAGGGCGGTGACACGTGGTCTGCAGGGAATAATGGCGGAAGCGGCTGCTAGGTGACGGGCTGAGAGTGAAGCACCTTTGACGGCGGTGCTGAAGGAAAGAGCCGAAAGCGAGTGGAGTGCGACGAGGGAGGAAGCCATTGCGATACGCTGCTGGAGTAAAAAAAAAAAAAAATTAGCGCTTGATGCGTGAGAGCTTCCGATTTTAGGTGAGAGCAGTGGGAAAAAATATTTAGATAATGATGCTGCACGAGGGAGGGGATTCATAAGGGAAATGATCAGATTGGGGCCCCAAGGTTCTAGGAATAGAGCCAACTTGGGGCCTCGTGTGTCGCAATGTGTCGAGCCTGGTCCGGACCTGTCTCTAACCAATTTCGAGCCTCACCCACGCGCTCTGTCGGACCTGACCACACAAGGTGACGGATTTCCGAACGGACAAGCTGGGAAAAATTATAAACCCCAGACGGGCATGCATCCGGTCAGGGAGGCATCAACCCTAAACACCTTGTCGCATGTGTTTAGGGTTGATGCCTCCCCAATTTTATGCCATCCGATTGGGTTTTATATTTTTTACCGCTGAGATCATATTTTCGGACTAAACTGTTTTTTTTTTTTTTCTGGGTTATTTCGCTGAAGTATCTGTACTGCCCATTGTGAATGGGCTGACGATCACTTCTCCCATGAACCCGGGTGCTAGCGAAATCCGTCAAACCCAAGCCAGCAGGTGGTGACCTGGCGAGCTCGGCCTAGTTGCCTAGGCTTGTGGGTTGCTTCGGGCCTTCTTCATAGGGTCGCGATTCACAAGGCCCCAAGTTGGCCATCTTTCTGCTAATCCGAGGCCCCAATATGATCATTCCCCGATTCATAATGGCTGCGTTCTGCAGGCACGACAGAGGGGGGGGGGGGGGGAGGCGGTAAATAGGAACCTTCCCCCAACTGCGTTTTTTGGATCAAACGCCCGGTCAGCCCGGAAAATGGATCCGAGCCTCCCATTTACCCTCCGAACGTAAACGAAGGTAAAAGGCGACAGAACAGCCATTTACCCTCGTGGATATGTGGGTGTAGGAAGCTGCTTATTTCCCCACCCCACCTTCCTTCTCTGGCAAAATTTGCCTCCTCCTCCCCCCCTTTCGAAAACTGCTCTTGCCCGGGATGTGAGACGGAGGGGGGAGGGAGGTGCTGGGTTAGGGAACACCACACTTGAACCCTAGAAAGCAAACAGCCCCTCCTTTGATTCGCCCTAACAGGGACGCGTCAAACTAACAGCTAAAAAAAAGGTTCGAATCAGCGGGGTTTGTGTCTTGCTGGAGGGAGTGCAGGGAGGGACCCTAATTTTCTACGTGGTAACCCTCTCAAAAGTTCAACCCTTTTTCAGATTTCGCGCAGCTCTATCTACCCAACTTCTGAGAGTTGGAAATTGTGGCTGTTTTTTCGGCATTTACCTTCAGCAGCTTCGCACCCTAAACCCGAAATTTCCAACTTTCGGTTGTAGCGGGGGGAGGGGGGGGGAGGACTCGAAGGGGAAACTGCCTCAGATTCCTCGTCATTTCCCTTCGCCCCCCCACCTCCCTCCCAAGGGAAACGCCTACAGAACGCAGCCAATGCTTGCCGGTGCGCGACTTCGATTTCCAGCAGTGCGATACGCCAAGCTCAAGTCCTGAAAGGCAACAGACATTCATGGTGAGACGTGGCTGCCCAACTGCAATGCCACGATGGCTAGTCCGAATCAGTGACTCGCACTTTCGTGACGCATGGACAGCCGCGTGGATCTTTGGTTACCATTCATGTCGTCAACGAAGTGAGAAGAGGACCAAAACGCCTCACGTCAGATCTCTCACTTCGAAAGTGTGAGGGTCTGGCGTGGCTTCTGGAACCTTTTTAGGCTACAGTGCTATGGAGAGCCGACAATAGCGCCATTGACCGCCTGTGACCTGATTTGTTGGACTGAGGGGAAGAGAGCAATGGCAACGCCAGGCCCCGCCCCACGCCAACCCACCACCATTGTGACTTTGTTCGCGTTTATAACAATGCGTTATTGTTTCAAGACAAAGCTGAGCGTATTATCAATCCAGGATTATGTAGACCCAAAATATGAAGAACAGCCAAGGACAGGGAGTGGCTGTGGCTTTTGTCACGGTTGATGCGCTAGGATTTAAAGCAGCGGTATACATTTTACAGTGCTGCTTGTTTTGTACAGTGTGCAAAGGCGATTTCGCCACAACGAGAGAAAAAAACTGGTTGGCGAGAGTGTTGGCGAAAAGCTGAGACCAACTGCTGTGAAGGAGCCTGGCTTGGGAAGGGAGGTCGGAAAAAGCTCTCGTCACAACTCACTCTGCCATGCCCACATGAGACTGTGGGGATAAGAGACTAATAGTGATTAGAATAGAACGAATAAACCGAAGAGTGGCGAGGCGGAAGCTAGACCAGCATCGCGACCACACACATATGCGCAGGTGAGTAAAACTCTATGTTCATTACCGGCGACGCCTAAAAAAACGACTAGCAAAAGCTCCAAGCTTCTCCTCCTGCACCTATACTCCGCCGCAATTCAATAGGACAAGTTTGGCAGAGCCATTCGAGTCGCGACACTGGGATGCTTACGGCGCGCCCGTCGTCACCTAGCTAAGGCGCAACTACGACGTCCATTCGACCCAATCTCAGCCATGGCGTCGGGTGAGGAGTGAGAACCACCACCACCATGGCGTGGTGCCATCCGCCTGTCACGATGCCGATCTTGGTGTAAAGTGGGAGAGTGGAACCGTGGATTGGCTTGCCTTACAGCAAGAGAGTTGGCTCGACCGTCTGAGGCCATGGTGCAGTCGCTGCGAGAGAAGCACCCTGCTAGCACTGCCATTGGAGATGAAGCGGGTGGAGGAGGGTCTCACTGTGGTAGGCTTACCTATTGGGGAGGAGGATTGGGAGGTGGTCCGGTTACGGGAGCGGCTTCGACAGTTGCAGGCGCCATTGCCATGGCTCCCTTTGCTCGACCACCCCCTGATGGCTTCACATCTCCTCGCCATTGCAGTTTCAGCACGACCGATGTACTTGGCCCGGACTATGCCACCACGTCCGGAGGTGGTGGAGGCCGCTAGGGATTGGGATAGTTGTCTGGAGGATTGCTTCGAGCAGCTTTACCCACCCGGCACTTGGGAGCAGGACCCCGACCAGTCTAGGAACGCACGCATGCAGCTGCATCTCCTTGTGCTACTCTGAGGGTTTGGGATCCGGGCGGCGGCCTCTTTGAGTCCGCTCTCCTATGTTTGTGGGTGGGCGCAGGCCGCACGGGATATTGCACATTTGGGGGTGGCGGGCGAGGAGGCGATGTTTGCGGATTACCTTACCACTTCGGCGGGGGCGGAGCTTCTTGACCCGTGGTTTGCCAAGGCTATTGAGCAGCTGCCTGCGTCTATACGTCAAGAGATGCCAGACTTACCTTTGTGTGTGGCGGCCCCTCCTCTTCGGCTTTTCCAGGCGCGGCAGCGCCAGCTGATAGTAGAGGAGCGCCAGGCACTGCGCCGCTCGGCTCATGACGATGCCACCCTGGCCCGTTTCACATCCCTTCAGGGCCCGGGGGCTGGTGCATGGGTTTCGGCGGTCTCGGCTCAATCAGATCTCACATTCACTGTGGCTGAGTGGGGCATTGCTGCTGCTATACGGCTTGGGCTCCCAATTTAGCAGCTGCAAGTGGCGGGGAGGTGTGTTTGTGGCACAACGTATATTGACCCAGCAGACCAGCATCATGCCCTGAGAAGCAAGAACCAGCACGGTCCATCTCGGGTGCATGATGTGGTGAAGTTTGCAATGGCAAGGATCTCTAAGGGCGCGTGTGTTCCGTCAAATTTGACAAAGTTTATGTTTTGGGGGCAACTATTTTTTTTTTTAACTTAAGTCGAATGGAATTCGACTTTCCTTGTAGCGAAGTTCAAACATAGCGGGAATAACACTGCAAAGATGTAATCACGCACGCAAGGTCGAACACCAAAATTCGAACCTTTATGTTACCCGGTACATGCTCGTCAAGTCAACATACTGCAATTTTTTGTTTTGCAATGCACTCGTCAATTTTGCATGGTCTTCATGCGTGCCGAAAGCACACACACTCGCTTCAACGTGTACAAGCACGTTCATCTATTCGACTCGAGTCAAGTTCACATTTTATGTTCGAACTTTCATAGCCCCTAAAATTCACGATGTTCGTCAGATGTCATGAATGAAATTCGCGAAGATGGTAACCACACAAAGTTCGAACTTGGAAACGGAACACAAGCGCTCTAAGGCGTCAGGGGGGGGTGGTGACGATTGAGGATAGTGTGGTGCTGCCAGGGAAGCGGGTTGATGTAGCGGTGCGGCGACTAATGGCCGGGGAGGCTTACGCTCTGGAGGTCAGCATCGTGGACCCTCTATTGTTGTCTCCATCTCTGCTAGGGCAGTGCGAGCGTTCTATAGGCGTGGCGGCAAAGGAGTGGGAGCGTCGCAAAACGAGTGATTACGCACCTCTGCTTGCACGCAACCGGGGCGTGCAGTTCACCCCATTGATAGTAGAGACGTGGGGGTGTTTCGGCGGTCGTTACTGCCAGTGGCTTCGACAGCAGGGGGACGCGCACGTGGGGCTAGCTGTGTCACGGGGGGCTTGTCGGGAGGATGGCACTTCGTTTTCGGCTAATCTTTTGGGGTCTCTGAAGGCGCTCATCGGAGTGGCGTTACAACGGGCGCAAGCTCGTGTCATCCTGCTTCGGGCGGCGTCTTCCATGGGGGGGATGAATGTGGACCGGGAGAGGGAAGACGTTGAGGTGGAAGGCGGGGCTCTTTGGGTGGAGGCCTCGTACATGGTGGATGCGCAGATGTGACTGACATGGGTGAAATGGGGTGCAGGATGGGGTGTCTCCTTGGGGTGTCCTGACTGGGTGTTTTGATTGGGTATCTTGATGGGGCTTTTTATGGGTGTTGGGTTTGGGATTTTTTCGGCACTTTTACTTGGTTTCTCCCTTTCTTTCTCCACATCCTTTCTCCTTCGTCTATGTCTCTCTTTCCTTTTTTCCTCTTTTTGTCTAGGATCCTGTGACGTACGCTTATATTAAAACTAATCATGACCACTTACTTCCATGGGATGGTGGGACTTAACAACCCCCGCAAAAAGTTAC